GTGTGTACATGTGTTTGTGTGTTCATGTGTTTGTGTGTTCATGTGTTTGTGTGTACATGTGTTTGCGTTTTCATGTGTTTGTGTGTTCATGTGTGTTTATGTGTTTGTGTGTACATGTGTTTGTGTGTACATGTGTCTGCGTGTTCATGTGTTTGTGTGTTCATGTGTTTTTGTGTACATATGTTTGTGTGTTCATGTGTTCATGTGTTTGTGTGTTCATGTGTTTGTGTGTACGTGTTTGCGTGTTCATGTGTTTGTCTGTTCATGTGTCTACATGTGTTTGTGTGTACATGTGTTTGTGTGTTCATGTGTTTGTGTGTACATGTGTTTGCGTGTTCATGTGTTTGTGTGTTCATGTGTTTGTGTGTTCATGTGTTTGTGTGTTCATGTGTTTGTGTGTACATGTGTTTTCGTGTTCATGTGTTTGTGCGTTCATGTGTGTTCATGTGTTTGTGTGTTCATGTGTGTTCATGTGTTTGCCTGTTCATGTGTTCCACCACATGTCAGGGAGTTGTGTGAGGTTTGTGTGTAAATTAGTCTTTTTCCTGGTGAAGACTCAACGGTCCGGCCTCGGTGCCAGTGGTCCGTTACCTCTGGTTCCATCAGGTGCAGGACACCAGCATCACCGCCTCGTCTTACATGTCGTCACGCACACGCAGGCGTTCCGTCTCCTCACCTTGGCCTGACGGGTTATCTCTGGGGGGGGTCGCGGGTACATCCACTACCAATGACAATTTGTCTTGATGAGCTCCTCGTCTCTGCCTAATCTGTGTTTTGAGTCCATGAGTTGTCTGAAGGCAAAAACACTAAACATGATGATCTGGCTGATGACATCATGTTGATTAAAAGAGGAAAAGCACAAGACGTCTAAACTTAAATCTTTATACCAGCTTGAAACAAACTGATCAATCTAGGCGTGTCGCTCGATAGCCGCAGAGTATTTTCCGGATCCTTTTGACGGCGTGAGGCAGGGCTTCCTGGCAGCCGGCGGCCCTCGGACTGTGGGAACACGGCTCTGCAGCGGGACCGTGACTCAGGCAGATGTTTGGCTGTGTTACGACCCGGTAATAAGTCCGACATGTGGCCGTGCTGCATCCAGAGGAGCAGGTGATGCCATCACTGCCGTTACCATCTGCGCTGATGAGAGCTGGGACCCAGTCCTGACGGATGCTGCAGCTTTTATTATCCCTTTAAGTAAAATATAAAACTAATAATTGTACAAGCTGGAGGAGCCGGCAGCCCACTACAGAAATCCGTGCACTCTGAAGGTGAGCACGTGTTCATCTTATGTTTTAAGCATTTTATTAGTGTAAGGTGTCGGCCAGAGCTGAAGTCACTGATTTTATTGGTGAAGTGCAGAAGTTGAATCCACCTTGATTTTCTTTGTGGTTTATTTCCACAAAGAGACACAAGTTCTTCTAATA